GCTGACCATGGTCGCCATGGAAGAAGGAATGCTCACCGAGACCTGTTGAATTTCAGGGGATCCAGGTAGAGAGAAAAGTTAAATGCTTCAATTTGTTCACAAATGCATGCTTTATCACATTTCTATAGTCATAGTAATCTTAAGAGAAGGTTTCCTTAACCCGGGAGAGCAAACATGAGAAAACCAGCAGTGTTTCAAATAAGAGTCATAACTCTTAATCATCTTTTAGGTCATTTAGTCCCATGTTATTGATTCTTGTTCAGGCTTTTGTTTCATTTTAATATTTTATTTATTTATTCATGAAAGACACAGAGGCAGAGACACAGGCAGAGGGAGAAGCAGGCTCCCTGCGGGGAGCCCTATGGACTCGATCCCAGGACCCTGGGGTCACGCCCTGAGCCAAAGGCAGATGCTCAGCCACTGAGCCACCCGGGAGTCCCTGTTGTTCAGTTTGAATGCAGCTTTACTTAGTTCTGGAAATTCTTACCCGTTTCAGTTTTATGATCTTAAAGATATTGAATACCTGTAATTTGTCCTAAAAATCCTTTTAGTGGATCTCCTTGAAGATGAAACTCATTTTGCAAGAGAATAAGAACAATTAGAAATGACAAAAACTCAGAAATGGGCCTTGTTAATGATCTGAGCTCATTATGATGCCGCTGACTAGGAAACAGTTATTTCTGTGACCCCTAACACTTCAGTAGCCAGCCTATCAAGTGATCACCTTACACCTGAAGGTAGCATACCAAACACACAAGCCTGATTAGTAAACTGAGACTTTGTTTACGATTTAAATCTTGGAGAAGTCTGTTAAAACCTTGGAAAGTTTTAAAGCACATGCCTAAATAGGGTTAGGGATGTTAAAGACCTGATAAAGGCGAAACGTAGAAACTGGTTTTTCTGGGCAGGCAAAGAGAAAACAACTATTTACGTTTTCTTATCAAGAGTAGACCAACAATTCAAGAGAACTTGTCTTTTTGAGCAGAGAGAAAGCAGACTTTCAGTCTTCTAACCCTTGTACTTTAAAATCCATTCACTTCAGCCTTAGCCCATCCTGACCACACCTAAAATTCCTTTCCACGGATTTCCCTTCACAAACCTTCCTCAACTTTCCTTTGCATTCAGAATTTATCCCACACCATCCCACACCCATTTCTTTCCAGTCAGTCTCATTTAGGACAAAATTGCTTTCTTTTACTTCAACAAAAATACATTCCCATTTCTTATATCTTTCTTATACACAGAGCTGCCTCCCTTACTCCCATCAGTCTTAATTACATTTAGCAGGATTTTAACTCTTAGAAACTTTGGTCTAGGGGATCCCTGGGTGGCTCAGCGGTTTAGTGCCTGTCTTGGGCCCAGGGCCTGATCCTGGGGTCCTGGGATCGAGTCCCACATCGGGCTCCCTGAATGGAGCCTGCTTCTCCCTCTGCCTGTGTCTCTGCCCCTCTCTCTCTTTCTCTTTGTGTCTCTCATGAATAAATAAATAAAATCTTAAAAAAAAAAAAAAGAAGCCTTGGTCTCCAGTGAAAACTAAATAGTAACCAGTTGTGACCTGTTGTGAACTGTCACACCAGAACTCTCAGGCGGCAAATTTTATGAACAGGTTATAAGCACAAAGCATGTTTACCAGCAGATTCCAGCGTCCTTAGTTCCTTTGCAATAAGACGTCAAAAGCACAAACTGACGTCCAGTAATCAGTGCTCCAGCACCTTATCCTATTTGGAAAAGACCTAGATGTCCAAAGACTTTAATCCCACTTACCATCTAAGCAAAACTTTAAGGTTTCAGGTTACCGAAGACTTTGAAAGGTATCTTAATAATTACCCATGAAGACTTTGAGACAGACAATTAGCCATCATTTTAGTCATCTTTTTGCTAACAAAATGCAACAGAGATCACATGAGCTTATTTGATCTTCAGCAAACCTCAGTAGAATAAAAGTTTCACATTTAGTGCTGATAACTTTAAAGACACGTCTATCTTGATTAAACCAACAAACTTAGTTTAAAGACCAAATTATTTCCACCTGAATCCTCCCCATTGTCAGTTTTTACCTGAGACACTGGTGGGGAATTCTGACATGGGCAGTGTTAAGTCCGGGGGATGCTCTTCTTGCTGCTGGACAGTGAGGGGTGAAGGACCGAGGATGGACTAGAAGCCAGCTATGCAGGCCACACCGGGGGCGCTGCGGGAATGGGGGGCGAGGGGGAGGCAGAGGAGGCCCGGTGCTGCCAGAAGGCAGAGAAAGGGTTCCTGGTTCTAGAGCTCCTCAGCTCCATACTTTCCTGCTGATAAGGGGGAGTAGGCAGTCCATGCCAGGCCAGAGAAGACCGGGAGTTTGGGCAGCTGCTGGAATATTCCTTACAGCCCCCATCCCGAGGTAGACCAACCACAGTTGGCTCCAGTTACAGCCCTGAACCTGGGACATGAATGAGGGAGCAGCCCCCACATCTGTTAGGAGGAGAGACAGTGTGGGAGTCCCCTTCATCTGGGATGGAAACAGGATGGCCTGTTTCCTCCAGGAGTTTACTGGGAGGAGGCCTCCTGAGATAATTATCCAGTGTGTCGGGAGGGAGTTTAGCCAGACACGTTTGGGCAAACCCATTCTGCCCTGTTGCCCACAGAGATCTGACAACAGATCCTCCCGAGGCCAAGTCATGTTACAGGTCATCGGTCCTTTCCTAAACTCGGCAATCCTAATTGTTTCCAGTGGTTAAAAGGCATCCCAAGGAAGAGTCCTGCTAAGGGCAAACCCCCAGAGAAGGAGAGGGGGTCTATCACCACAATCCCTTGACTCCCAGGTGGCGTCCCTTGCAGGATATGTCAGAGTTTCCATGTGTCCAGAGTGACTGGAGCATCCCTCAGAGAATCCCAATGATCACCATCCTGCCTACCATGAAGGAGGATGTCGGCATCTCTCCCCCTCCCTGTCGCATCCTAGGCTGCCATGGTGCCTGGGGGATGGACTGACACACTGCTGTGTCGTCCCATGCCCTGAAGGCTGCGTTATTGCCTGTTTTAACCCATGGAAAACACTAGTTTTAAGAGGGGAAATTACCCAATTTTGTAGCTTACGTGTAGTTAGCAGAGGACATCAACAGAAAACGGTAGAGAGAGAAATCCGTCATGGTCTAAGCGACATTCCAACACATGTAGTCTTTATAGCCAACTTCCCTAAGAATTGGTCCCTGGCTGGGTTTTAATTCCATCGGGTACTGGTTTCGGCTGGTTCCCAGTGGAGGTCCCACGGCCTGAAGGAGCTAAACCGAGCATGTGGAGGGGTCGCATTAGATCCGTCAGGAGGGAACCTCACACCATCCTGCTGGCTTGGTGACTGTCCCGTGCCCAAGACAGACAACTCTGTAGAAGGACAGGAGTACAGAGAGAGCATCAAGTTTCTGGGTCTTATTACCATCCCGGCTGGGGAACTAACTTCTAGCCCAAAGGCAGGCTTTGTCCCCATAGAGGAGCCATGGCTAGAGGATCGCCGCACCATCAGCGTGAAAGTGTTCCAGTAAGACCATACTCCTCCTTGGGCCCCTGGTATGAGAGTAAAGGAAGGGGAGAGGAAGTACCCAGTTTGCACCATGGCGCAGAGTCCAGATGTGACTCTGGACTCAAAGCCCCACCTTGGGCGCCATATAGATGTAGTTGAGAACATTAGGGTTTGAAGCCAACAGCCAAGAAAGAATTCTTGAGACATCCTTGTTATAAAAAGGTGGTTTTATTAAAGTGCAGGGACAGGACCATGGGCAGAAAGAGCTGTAGTGGGGCCATGAGAGGTGGCCCATTATAGTTGAGAGGCGGTTAGGGAGAGCGGAAGTCTCTCAGTTTTGGAAGCAAGGTTTCCAGGACCTTGAGGGGCTAGCTATTGTTGGGAAGAGGTCATTTATTACCACCTAATAAAACCTGAGTCCTGAGACCCTTCAAATCTTGGGGGGTTTAGAGATAAAGGAAGTTTCTAAAGGAATTTTTATATGTTAGAGTAGACTCACCAGGGTCTTGGGGGTCGGGCTAGATTGCCAGTTGCCCTCAGCAGAGTATTAACATCCAGGCAGCTGAGCTCCGAGAGGAAGGTCCCTCTGCCTGGTTCAAGGACGTGTCCGTGGGCTGTAGGTGGTAAGGACGTTTAATAATTTCTCTTCTGCCTTTGTTTCCTCCATCAAAATCATTATCACAATTTAAGTGGTGAACATATACATCACCCCAGAAGTTTCCATTGTGTAAGTCCCTCCTGCTGCCTGCCCCGCACCAGATCGCACTGCCCGCTCTCTGCTGCTACAGATTAGCCCTCCTCCGTGAACCAGAATTTCATACAAATGGGCTCTGTGGTGTGTATGCCTGTTTGGTCTGGCTTCTTTCACTCAGCAAAATTATTTTGAGAAACATAGACATTGCATGTATCTATATGGGTTTTAGGTTTTCAAAATTAATCCTACCTGAGTTCCTAGATGGGAAATATTACTTCTTTGAAAACTATTAGCCTTGTTTTTTAATTTGGTTGAGAAATCCTTGAATAATAGTCTAAATACAAATCTTAGCAGATTACTACACTGAGCGGCCCTCGTGAAGGCGGGCTCCGGTGACTCGCACTTTGGTAAAGTACCTCTTCGTCTTCAACACTGTTCAGGCTCCTAACCAGTAGGCCATGCTCCGTATCTTAGTTACCGGAGTGTTTTGAAAGTAGAGAGTGGGGATCCCTGGGTGGCGCAGTGGTTTAGCGCCTGCCTTTGGCCCAGGGCGTGGTCCTGGAGACCCGGGATCGAATCCCACATCGGGCTCCTGGTGCATGGAGCCTGCTTCTCCCTCAGCCTGTGTCTCTGCCTCTCTCTCTCTCTCTCTCTCTGTGACTATCATAAATAAAATAAAAAAAAAATTATAATAAAAAAAAAAAAAGAAAGTAGAGAGTGAATGTTGAATCTTGTCTTGTGTCTGCTTTAAGAGGTGTTGTATATCTAGCGGTCATGCCATATTTACCAATTTATTTTTCTTTCCAGATCCTTTCCAGGAGTTCAGTTATGGGCGTGAGAGGTTTGCAGGGGTTCGTGGGCAGCACCTGCCCACATATATGTACAGTAGTGAACTTCAAAGAATTGGCGGAGCACCACCGAAACCAGCACCCCGGCTGTACGCCGACCATAGTGGTTGATGCCATGTGTTGTCTCAGATACTGGTATACTCCCGAATCTTGGATCTGCGGTGGCCAGTGGCGGGAATATTTTTCTTCTTTGCGGGATTTTGTTAAGACTTTTACCACTGTTGGCATCAAGTTGATATTCTTCTTTGATGGCATGGTGGAGCAGGAGAAGAGAGATGAATGGGTAAAACGAAGACTCAAGAACAATAGGGAAATTTCCAGGATTTTCCATTATATCAAATCGCACAAGGAGCAACCGGGCAGAAACATGTTCTTCATCCCATCGGGGCTGGCCATCTTTACACGATTTGCTTTGAAGGCCCTGGGTCAGGAAACTCTGTGTTCCTTACAGGAGGCCGACTATGAGGTGGCATCTTACGGCTTCCAGAATAACTGTCTTGGGATTCTTGGAGAAGACACTGACTACTTGATTTATGATACTTGTCCCTACTTTTCAATTGGTGATCTCTGCCTGGAGAGTCTCAGTACTGTCATGCTCTGTAGAAAGAAGCTCTGTGAGAGTCTGAATATCAACGTGGCAGACCTTCCTCTTCTGGCCTGCCTACTTGGCAATGACATAATCCCAGAGGGCATGTTTGAGAGCTTTCGGTACAAGTGCTTGTCTTCCTATACCTCTGTAAAGGAGAATTTTGACAAAAAAGGTAACATCATCTTAGCTGTTGCAGACCATATATCTAAAGTTCTTCACTTGCATCAAGGTGAGAAAAAGCTAGAAGACATGTTACCTTTGGGACCAAACAAAGCTCTTTTTTATAAGGGTGTGGCATCCTATCTTTTGCCAGGACAGAAATCTCCGTGGTTTTTCCAAAAACCCAAGAGTTTAATATTTTTGGACGAGCAGGTGGTATCGATGAGTTCAGACCCTGAATCTAAGCAAGGAGTTCCAATGTGTATAGACTATGGATCCAAGCAAGGACTTCCCATGTGTACAGATCCTGAATCCAACCAGGGATTTCCCATGTGTACACCTCCTAAATCCAATCAAGGAATTCCTATGTGTACCCCTCCTGAATCCAAGCAAGGAGTTCCCATGTGCACAGACCCTGAATCCAAGCAAGGTCCCATGTGCACACCCTGATCCAGCAGAGTCCCATGTGTACACCTCCTGAATCCAGGCAAGGAGTTCCTATGTGCACAGACCCTGAATCCAGGCAAGGAGTTCCCTGTGTGCACAGACCCTGAATCCAGGCAAGGAGTCTCCTATGTGCACAGACCCTGAATCCAAGCAAGGAGTTCCTATGTGCACAGACCCTGAATCCAGGCAAGGAGTCTCCATGTGCACAGACCCTGAATCCAAGCAAGGAGTCCCCATGTATACAGACCCTGAATTTAAGCAAGGAGTCCCCATGTATACAGATCCTGAATTTAAGCAAGGAGTCCCCATGTGTATAGATTCTAAATCCAAGCAAGGAATTCCCATTTATATAGATCCTGAATCCAAGCAAGGAGTTCCCATGTGCACAGACCCTGAAATCAAGCAAAAATTACCTCCAGGGGCAGACCCTGAATTTAAGCTAGAAGCACCCATGTGTACAAACCCTGTAATTAAAGAAGACCTCGTGAATATGGAGCCTGAAGTCAAACAAGTAACCCTGGTTTCAGACGCTGACATACTAAAGGTATGTAGATGTGCCCACCCCAACCTGGGTGTCATGATTGAAAATCTACCCATTATGGATTTGCCAGTGAATATTTATTGACTGTCGCAGTTAAGGCACCGTGGGGACACAATAGGACCCTGGCAGTGTGTTAGGAAGTATGACCTAGTGCCCTGGGAGTTCACATTATAAAGTGTGTTTGATACTCTGCATGCCTGTTGTAGAAGAGAGCTCTCAGAATTGGAAGAGTGTGAGCGGTGCGGGTTACACACAGGGAGGAGTTCCTGGAGAGCTAAAGTCCGCCAGACCTTCACGGGAGCTGCAGTTTGTAACAGGCAAATATTTGTTGCTTGGGGCTTGTGGTAGAGCAGGAGGCTGAAGCATGGGGTCTGAGGGGAGACCTGGGAGAGAGGTCGGAAAACGTGGAGTGAGGCAGACTGCGAAAGTTTCTGTGCCCCAGCAGCAGGGGGGCCTTCATCCTGAAAGAGATGCAGAGCCTTGGGAGGTTTTCATGGAGGGCTCCTGTTTATAAGCCCCGTTACGTGTGAGGTTCTGTGCTGGGTGGGTCCCCACACACCTCAGGTGCTCCTGACAGTGTCCCCATCTGCCATCCAGTCACGCAAGGTACAAACCTGGGGATTCTCTCTCCGTGTTTTATGACTGTCCTCTCCTTGTCTTATTACTTGTACCTGTTCAGTTAGTCCCACCGCCCTAGTGTAAGCTCTTTTCTGGATTACTCAGGAATCTCTGACCACTCTTCTGCATAGACTTTTTGCCCCTTCCAATCCACTTGTCATGTTGTGTGCAGAACTATGATGCCCTTTGTTTGTGTTCCATAGCTCTCCCAGGAATAGGGACAGTCGCCTTAGGCAGGCTGTGGCCTGCCATGCCCTCACCACTGCCGCCTCTCCAGGTGGCCAGTCCCTTGTCTGTCACGGCCCCAGAGGTACTCTCCTGCCCCCTGGAAGCCTCCCCTGCCCCTGTGCGAGTCTTTTCTGTCACAGTTGGCTGGTCACCCTCTCAGAGATGGCCCCTGACCATCCACGGTGTGGCACCTGTGGTGGCGCACGTCTCACGGGGATGTCCTGCTGGGGACGGTGCTGTGAGGACACGATCCTGTTGGTTTTGGTCACTGCTGAGCCCCTTTTCCTGTCACGCTGTGTCTCACAGTAGTTGCTCACTGAATCTTGAAGGCAGTATTCCCTTTCTCGTGTATCTTTGGGGCCTCTTCTTTAGCAACTTCTTCCCTCCTGCACGACGACATGGGTTCTCCTGTCTTGAAAAGTCTTTCACCTCTTTCTCTATTGCATACATGATAACAGATAAGCTAATTTACTAACATAAGAAATTACAGTTAAAAGTAGGATGTGATATATAGGTTAAGAGAGTTACAGTTGAAAAAATATTAAGGGGTTAAAATTATCCTACCTGGAAGCATCTTTAAGTGCTTCGTTGAAGAAAAAGAACATGAGCTTGGAGGAATTTGTCAGGAGCCGCCCCACTCCCAGACCGTGTGCCTGGCTTCAGAGGTGGTGCGTGATGTGGACCCTGGAGGCCCCGTAACAGCTTGCTGAGGGACAGGACGGGGAAAGGCGCACAGAGCAAAAGTGGAGCATGCAGGGTGCCTCACTGCCTCGGGGGGCGGGGGGGGGTCTGCTTTCAGCCGCCCAGGACTGCTGATAAGCACCAGGCAGCATCAGCCACCACCGTGCACAGCACCACTCTGGGCCCTCTGCTTTTTCTGTTGTGACCTGGTCCCTGCCGGTTCCCAGCTCACACCCATTTCCCGACTGTGTGTGGCCTTGCCCACGTCCACTCTGGGCTTGGGCCCTTCACAACCCTGACTTGCATTCGCCACACCAACAGGGCCCGTCCTTGGCCTTCCCTCCTGTGCTGGACACCCTAACCATCTCCTCCAGTTTCCTGCAGAGGTTCTGACAGATTGGGTCAGGTCACAGAGGGCAGCAGCGTGTGTATCATGAAAGAATTAAGGACTTAGTTTTTATTATTGATTTTTAATTTTTAAATTTTTAAAAAAGAGTTATTTATTTGACAGAGAGAGGGCACAAGAAAGCAGAGTTATAGGCAGAGGGAGAGGGAGAAGCAGACTCCTCGCTGAGCAGGGAGCCTGATGTGGGACTCAGTCCCTGGACTCTGAGACCATGGCCTGAACCAGAGGCAGATGCCCAACCAACTGAGCCCCCCAGGCGGCCAGGACTTGGTTTTTATACACAGTGAGGAGGTATTGGATATCTTTAAGCAGGGGTGGGATGTGATCAGGTATTTGTTTCTTGAACATTGGTTATCCTGCAAAGAATGGACTCATGTGGCTGTTGCAGGAGCCAAGGTGGGGGGACAAAAGAGCTAGAATTAGGACAGTGGCAGTGCAAGTGGGGAGGAAGAAACGTTCAAAAGTAAGTCTTGCTACGGAGGTAAAGGTCCTCCTGCTATCTGGGGTGGATGTTGCCTTGACCTAAGGATGAGCGGGGAATGGTTTGACAGCAGATAGCTAGGGAAGACCCATGTGATGCTTAGAAAATGAGCCTTGGTTTCCATTATTGGGCAGGAGACCGTCCTCTGGAAGTCATCCTACTGTATGTGGTGATGGAAACCCTCCAAGGAGAAGACTGTGTAGGAGGGAGCTTTAGGAAAAATGCACTGAGAGGGAGGGGAATGAGGCACTGTGACCCCCCGCAGAAACCCAAGGAGGCAGGTTTCAAGAATGAGGAGAGTAATAACCAGGAGTATCAGGTGCTGCAGAGTAAAGTAGAATTGGGGCTAGGAGGCACTTAATAGGGTTTGGTTCCTGAGAGAGCCATTGTCCACAGGGGCCTGGTGGAGGTCGGATGGCCAGGGTTTGAGGAGTACCTCAGGGGCAAAGGCCGGAGTGGGGAGTGATTGCTCCTTCAGGGAGTTTGGCAGTGGAAGAGCCATGGGTGAGGAAGAGGGAGGAGTGTGGTGGGAGGCCTGTCTGCAGGGGAGGTCGGCCATCTGGAAGGGTGGATCGCATGTCGTCTACACCACAGCTCTCCCGTTGACTAGAGTTGATGATGGCTTTGAAAACAATTGTGAAGTGTCTTCAGTTCCCTTTCCATTTTTCCTTAAAATTTGTTTGCACTGAAGTCTTCTAGTCCTATCAGATGGGTAACCCCAATTCCAACATGTATTTCAACCCCACACAGTCCCAGAAACCCTTAGGTAGAAGGCTGTAGTGCACAGCAGTTATCCTGGGCATGTACCACAGCCAGATATCTGTGTTTTGTCCATAGCAGGATATTTTAGAAAATCAGTTACATTTTGAGAGTAAATTCTATATGGTTTCCATAATGTTGAATAAGCAGAATTATTACATTAGAATGTTTGGATGAGGTGACTGTGTTAAGGTTTTCCAAGTGTGGAGTGTTGTATAGATCTGCAGTTAAGGGCAGAGGTAGAAGGTACTTATTCGATGATTCTGATCTAATTAGTGAATTAAAATTGTAATTGTAGAAAACTTATCTGAAAAACCCCATATACACCCAGGAAGGAATGTTACATCTTAAATTCTGTACAGTTGCCAGAACTGAAGTTTTCTTGGTAGGGTGAATAAAATTTATTACAACTTCCTAGATATATTTGTTAAAATACCATCTCTCTTAAAATGAATAAAAGACTCAGAAATGGAAGAGGGAATAGGAAAATAAGTCAGAAGCTATTTTGCCTCAAAAGGATCATAGAAGTTGTAACTATAGTGTTTCTGATAGATTTAGTATCAAAAGGGGCACATGGAGAAGTAGGTCGTTGCCAGTGGTCTTCCATTAGAGTATCAAATGACAACCCTTTAAGATCTTTTTACAAGTATTTTTTGACCTTCCTGACCTTAAAGTTGCCGGCTTGTCTGCCATCTTGATTTCAAGAAATTTCAGCAAGGAGATAGACAACTTATATGTGTGTAGCCTCGTGACAGTGGTGACCCTGGATCACGTGCCGAGCTCTCGTTAACCATTTGCATCGACCCGTGTAGTCCTCAGGATAGTTCTGTGAGGGTAGACCTGGTGTACATCTGGAGAGAGGGAGGAATGGAGACAGGAAGACTCAATTCTACAAAAATGAGTCAAAGTAACTAGAACTACTTAAAAGTAAACACAAATAGAACAACGGTTCTCAGAGTTTTCGGCATTCCAGGTTGTCCTAACACCACATTTTAATTTATGCCTTTTGTGCAGACTGTTTGGATTTGAATTTTGAGTGGTGATCTAGGTAAATCGATTCCTGCAGTAATAAGAATGTTCAGGGAAAAGGCCTGTATGTAGGCTGTTACAGGCCTTCTGATCTTAGCTCCTTTTTTAATGAGAAAGTGGGATGCAGCCAAGTCTCATCAGGGGCACACGGTTTTGGTCCGTAAGGAATTACTGAACAGGTGAGTGACTGTGACACAGTTTCTGATCCCAGGGAGTTTGGCTTACTGGGGGAGATGAGACAAGGGAACTGCTATAGGGTAGATGAGGGATGAGCCCCATAGGCAGGGGGAGGTGAGTGGGATTGGGAGCAGAAGACAGGGTGACACTTGAAGTGGAGCCCAAGTGAGGATGGAGATGAGTCAGGTGTTCTTGAGAAAGCACGAAGGTGCTCCACTGTGACTGGTTTCTAGGAGGTGGACTGGTGTAATGGGAGGAGGCCACTGGAGCCTTGAATGTCAGGGTCGTCATTCAGGTGCTCTGAGGAGGGTAGTGACCGGACGGGATGTTGGTGCCGCGGAGCGGGGCTGGAGAGGGCAGACTCGGGCTAGATTCAGTTAGAGCCTTTGCTAGTGGTGCTTGTCGTCCGTTGGCAAGAGGCTGAGATGCCGCGGAGGTCCACACGGTAAGTCTGGGCGAGGCGGCGGCGGAGGAACGGACGGGGTGGCGTCTGGAAGCGAGGAGAGGCGGCAGATGCCAGCCCAGTGTCGGGAGTCTGAGGGGCAGTCACCCCATTTCTGAGAGCCTGGAAACACTGGCTTGGGAGAGAAAGGTGTTGATTTTTTCTCTTTGAAGGTAACTGTTTTGTTGTCACGGAGAAAGCATCTGTGTTTGAATTTGAACAGGTTGCTAGAGCACATCACGTCCAGGCCGAGAGCTACCTGGTGTACAACGTCATGAGCAGCGGGGAGATTGAATGCAGTAACACGCTGGAGGACGCCCTCGACCAAGCCCTGCCCAGCCAGGCTTTCGTCTACCGCCCGGTGCGGCAGCGCGTTTACTCCCTCCTGCTGGGGGACGGCGGAGGTGAGCAGGCTGCTCTCTCAGCAGCAGTGCTGTTTGGACTGGGATTCTGAGAAACAGGCCAAATGAAGGAGAATGCATTCTTTTAGGACATGGATACAATTAAAAAGGGTTGTGTTTCTCCGTAAAATCTATAATTGAGAAGACCACTCACATCTGTAGGACGTTAAGGGTAAACGCCGTGGGACATCTCTAATTAGCAAACAGTTGATCAGTATTCATTACAAGAAGAGTGCATTGTTTTTATAAAATGTTATATTTTATTCCCTAAAAGGATTTGTGTTTTTTTAAAAAATGTGAAAATGCTTTCCTCCTGCAGGGGTGTAGGGCATGTTTATTATTAGAAGACAATGTCTACTTATTCTTCAAAATGTGATTTTCATAAAATAATTCCATAAAATCTAGTACATCGTATTTTAAAGTATAAACGGTTTTCCTTTGCAGTATTTAGGTTTTTCCCATCTCTGTTTTCCTGGTACAGTAGTAGGAAGAGTGTAGGGAGAGGACTGTCAGTGGTGAGAGCAGGACAGTTGTGGCGGCCTTGGTGCCAGGTAGACAATTAGTTAGGCCCCTACTGCTTCTTTTCAGAGGGGTTGGGGGCATTGGGCATGGGGAGGAGCACTTCATAGTAGGGATTAGTGACGTGTCACCCGGGTAGTTCCCTCCTCTGAGGTCCTGCTCACCCGAGACGGGCCTCCCGAGACACTGGTCTCACTGGAGACGGAAGCAGTAAGGTCCTGGGGAGAGGGGGTATGAGGTCCTTCGGCCTAAACTCCATCCCTGTGACTGCATTAGTCCGGAGAGTGGGCACGGCCGTAGCCCTGCGGGGGCTGAGGGATCATCGGGTTGTTGAGCTGCCCTTACTCTGCGCTGGCAGGGTTCTTGGAACCCAGGTTCTGAGAGATCCCCGCCTGCCCGCTCGTCCTGCCTTTCCCATGTGTGCTGTCAGCCCAGGGGTACGTGCCCCGAGGAAGACAGGAGGAAGGTGTTTACACTAAATGAAAAGCAGAAACCAAAGGACCTATGGAATACACTTTGCGAGCAGATATTGTTTAAATTTTTTTCTATTTCTTGTGTGTTTTCTCTTCATATTCTTTCTTAACATGAGTGTTTTATTTTTTTTAAGATTTTATTTATTTTCTCATGAGAGACAGAGAGGCAGAGACACAGGCAGAGGGAGAAGCAGGCTCCCTGCAGGGAGCCCAGTGGGGACTGGATCCCCGGGGCCCCGGGTCACTTGCCGGGCTGAAGGCAGACGCTCAACCGCTGAGCCCCCCAGGCGTCCCAGCATAAGTGATTTCACATTGATTCTAATGATCAAAAAAAGATCTCTTACTCATGAAAACATTGTAGAATATTTGCCTGGAATTGTTTTTAGAGTACTTTATTAAACGAGATTCAAATATATAAACTTTACTATCTTAAATTGCATACTTTGTTAATGCAATTTATCTGCAGCCCCGTTGGTAACCTGATTACTTAACCACCGTAACAGGAAAAATTGCTGAAATTGAACTTGTCTTCACAATTGATCTTTACTTTTCTCTTTTTCAATTTTTTGGCTTTCTGTGTGACGTTTACATTCTTAGGGTGTAAGAAGAGAAAATGCTGCTGTCGCAGGTTTGCTTGTGGTGAGGAGGCATACCCCGCGCTGCTTGCGTGCCTTAGCTCGTGATCCCGCGTGTCCCTGAATCTGATGGACGTTTACAGCTGCTGCTGACACCAGCGCGGCGGCAGGGTGCATAGGGCTGTCAGGTTTTTCCCCGATTTCCATTTGACGTGGCCTGAGTTCCTGAGAGAGGAATGTGGGAATCTGCAGGCGCTGTGCTGGACGCTTTCATTTATTCCCTCAGCTCTGTGAGCTTTGCTGCACGTGTGTCTGAAGTTCCACCGTTAGGTGCGTACACAGTGAGGTGGTTCTGTCTCGTAATGAATTGATGACCCTTTTCATGTGATGAAATTTCTCTTCAAAGAGAAAGCTGATGATAGTCCTCATCTAGAAGTTTGGCATTAATATATGCACTCTGGTTTTCTTTCTTTCTTTCTTTCTTTTTTTAAGATTTTATTTATTTACTCAGAGAGAGAGGCAGAGGGAGAAGCAGAGGGAGAAGCAGGCTCCATGCAGGGAGCCCGACTTGGGACTTGACCTCGGGTCCCCCGGATCAGGCCCTGGGCCGAAGGCGGCGCTAAACCGCTGGGCCACCCAGGCTGTCCGCACTCTGGTTTTCTTAGGATCACGGTGTGCATGGCATATCTTTTCCGTCCTTTAGCTTTTAAACTGTTTCTTTGTACTTCATGTACATCTCTTTTAAGTAGCATATCTGGTTTGACAGTGTTTCTTTTCTTTCTTTCTTTCATTTATTTATTTAATTTTTCTCCCCCTCAAGCCTCCACGGTGGGGCTTGAACTCACAACCTTGAGATCAAGACTGGAGCTGACACCCAGAGTCAGACACTTAACTGACTGAGCCACCCAGGGCCTCTGGTAATTTTTCTTTTTAATGAGAGTCTTTAGATCATTTACATTCAGTGTAATTATTGACATGATTGGGTTTAAGTCTTGCATTTTGCCCTTTGCTGTCTTTTTCCCTTATTTTCTCCCTTTCTGACTTCTTCTGGACTAATCAAATAATTTTTAGTATTTTGTTTTATGTCCTCTTTTGTATTATTAGATTTACCTGTTTTGCTGTGGTTTTCTTAGTGGTTACTTGACAGTTAATAACGTACATTTAAGCTTCACAGTTTGCCTTCTCTTACAACCACATTGTGTGTGATGTAAAAACCTCACAGCTGCCAACTTTTGTCTTCCCATCATTTTTGCTATTGTTGCTTTATGTCTCCTGTATATTTTTAAACTTATTTTGAAATAATCATACACTCAAGGGGGTTGGCAAAAATAGTAACAGACTTTGATGTACCCTTGTCCCAGGTTCCCTCACAGATGGTATCAGAGCCAGAAGATTAACATTGCTGCAGCCTTATTAACTAGACTGCAGGCCTTGAGTTGTGTGCGTTCTGTTCTGTGTCCAGATGCAGAAGTGGTCCATCCCCGGAAGGCGCTCTCTCATGCGGCCCCTTTCTGCTGCCCTCTGGCCCCATCTCCTGTTTGCACTAGTTCGTCCTTGGTCTCTTGAATCTTGTCTTTTTTTTTTTTTTTTTTTTTTTTTATGATAGTCACACAGAGAGAGAGAGAGAGAGGCAGAGACACAGGCAGAGGGAGAAGCAGGCTCCATGCACCGGGAGCCCGACGTGGGATTCGATCCCGGGTCTCCAGGATCACGCCCCGGGCCAAAGGCAGGCGCCAAACCGCTGTGCCACCCAGGGATCCCCTTGAATCTTGGTTTTTGCAGGAATGTTACATAAATGTTCAGTCGTTACACGTAGTGTGCAGTCTTTTGAGATTATGCATACCTTTAAAACCCCATAATATGATTCTTGTGTTTGCTTTAAACCAGTGGCCGGCAAACGTGTTCTGTGAAGGGCCAAGTGTGATAAATATTTTAGGCTTTGAGAGCCCCCTCTAGTCCTGTAACAGACACAGCTTTGCTGTGTGCAGATGTGACTGTCTGTCCCCTGAGGAGTACAGCTGTGTTTCAATAAAGATTAATCTACTTTTCCTATGTCACAAAATTTGAATGTTATATATTCTTCCTCTGTCACAATATTCTTTGTTTGATAATTTTCCAGTCATTTAAAATAATGTGAAAAGCGTTACAGCTTTCGGAATGAAAGAACCCAAGTCAGATGTGGCCCACTGGCTATCTTACCATTGTCCAACCCTTATCCTAAACAGTCAGTGGCTTTTAGAGGAGGTTACAGATGAGAAGTCTTTCAAGTGCATTGATTTGAAGAGACGGCGCTCTCCATCCCTTTGTGGAGATCCACGTGTCCTTTAGTATCATCTTTCTTTAGAGAACTTGCTTTTACATCTCTTAGGGTGCTTATTTTATTTCCTGACAATATCTTTATTCAGATGTGTAATTCTGCTGTATATGGAATCTCAGGTGCTGTGAAGATGCTGCTACTCGTCTCTGGTGTCGTGGCCCCTCTGACTGTCGTTCCCCACCTGCAACAAGCATGCTACCCTCTGGCTGGCCATCAGGTTTTGCGTAGCACTGGTTTTCAGCAGTTTGTTGAAGCCAAGCTTGGGAGTGATACACTGCATTTATTCTGCTTGGGATTCTTGAGCTTCTTGGATCAGTGGGTTTACATTTCCTCTCAAATTTGGGGAAAACAAAGAATGTGATTTCACCAAGCGCTGTCTCCTGGGTCTCTTGCTTCTGCTTTCACTCTGGACCCCCAGCTGCAGGCTTGATTTGTTGTTCACGATGCCCATTACACTCCAAGTCTTGCTTTTCCGCCTCTTTTCTCTGCTGCAATTTGGGTAGTTCCTGTTGCTTTTATTTCAAGTTTACTGAGCCTTTCTTCTGCAGCATCTAATCTGCTAGTAACCCATCCAGTGAAATGTCCATTTCACATACTGTGTTTTTCAGCTGTTTTTTTTTTTTTTTTTTTTGTCTTCCTCCCCCAGCCCCAGGTCTTCATGCTTGCCTTTAGGTCCCTGAACTTCTGCACAGCACAGTCCTAGTCCACTCAGTCCATCAGCTCATCACTGCTGGGCCTGGGGCTGCTGGTAGATTTCTGAAGGGCCTTGCCTTATGTTCCGTAAGGCAGTCAACGTACCTGATCCCTTCAGGGCTTGCCTCAAGCTTCATTAGGCTGCGTCCATGGGGCCTTTAACTGTAGCGGCTGCGCCCCTGCCCTTCAGGGCTCAGACACCGGAGGTCTGAGGCAGAAGGCATAAGCACTGACTTGAACGCTGGTGCTTCAGTCCCTGATGATGGGTGCAACGGAGAGCTGGTCTGGCTGGCGATGTTGGCAGGTTGGCTGGCAGCACCCCTACACGTACTTTGTCTAGTTGAATGTGTGCTATTTGGAAGGCCCCAAAACGGGGAGAGACCCTGCGGTCGTGCCACCCGCAGCCCACTCTGCCTTCATGATGATTAATTTACTTCAGATTCTAACTTTGTCTCCTAGTGAAAGTCTTAGCTTACGTCACTGTGAAGCCTTGTAAATTTCAGGAACTAGAAAAGAAACTAGGAGGATGCCAAAGGCAGAGCCTGACCTGTTCTCCTTTACGTCTGTGCAGTCAGCAGGGCAGGGGAAGGGCCGTGCACACAGGCGGCTGTCCGCGGCTGGGCCAGGGCATGCTGTCCTCCTGTTGCCCCAGTGACACTGTGGGAACACGTGGCTGCAGGAGGCTGGTGGGTGGCATGGGGCGGTCCAGGTGGATGGCGCCTTCACAAAGCACCGACGGGCCATCAGCTCATGAAAATCCTAGGTATGTGTAAAAAAGTATGTGTGGGGACTTTTTAAATTTTTTTCAGGACTAAGGCCACATATAAATTGTACCAGCAGCATAAAAATATTACAGACCTGTAAGGACAGATATTTTTCTAGAAAAGCCTGAGGGTTGGTTGTTCACCTTGAAAATCCCAGTAATTGAGAGGTGGTGATTGACTGCTTCTCGTCAGTCCCCCTTGCCTGCTGCCGTCCCTGCAGGCCAGGTGACAGTGGTCAGTATGAGCTACGTGGCGTCTCCGTGGGCAAGGGCCTGCATGTGCACATTTCACAGCTCTGCTCGCAGGGAAAGTGTCCTCGTTACACGTAGAAGACTGTACAGAGTGGGTCGGTGTGTCTGTGTGTGTCCTCTGGGAATAGCAGAAGACCACGTTTGATTATGTCCGTTTTCCATTTTCTGTATAAAATGTCACCACTTGAAGGGAGTTAAACTAGCAAAGCACTTTTCTTAACTTCTTTACCCCTTTGAACATAGAGCCTAGCAAACTGAAAGTTTGAGTGAAAAAATCAGCCTTTCCTTTTAGGCATTGCCAAACTCAATTTTCCTCTTCTCTTTGTCTTGATTTTTAGGCACTTAAGAAGATTATTTCATTCTAATTCAGTCAGACCAAATTGTTGCAGACATTTCTGCTATAGTTTCAAAGTGCATGCCAGATTAAAACCTCTGAAATTTTGTTTTTCTTATTTAGGCAGAGTTTTATTTTTGATTTTTTAAATTTTTAATTGAATTATGCTTGACATGCAATATTATATTCGCTTTAGGTGTACAACATGGTGACTCAACATTTGTATGAATTACAAAATACTCAGCCTATTAAGTGTGGTCACCGTCTATCATCATACAAAATTAGTCCAGTATTACTGTGTTCCGTATGCTGTACTTTCATCCCCGTTTCCTCTTAATCCCCTTCCCCTGATTTCATCCATCACCCCATCCCCCTGTCTCTGGCAACCACCACTTTCTTCTCTGTATTTATGAGTCTGTTTCTGTTTGTTCACTTGTTTTGTTTTTAGATTCTACATATAAGTGAAATTATAAGGTATTTGTCTTTGTCTTGATTATTTTACTTAGCATGGGGCCCTCTAGGTCCATCCACGTTGTTGCAAAGTTTTGTTCTTTTTATGGCCGTGTGTGTATGTGTGTGTGTATGTGTGTGTATACACCAGCTCTATCCATTCATCAGTTGATGGACACAGGCGGCTTCCACATCGTGGCTATTGTAAGTAGAGCTGCAACAAACCTAAGGGTGCGTATGTCTTTTCAAATTCGTGTTTTCATTTTCTTTGGGTAAATGCCCAGAAATGAAATTACTGTATCACATGGTAGTTGTATTTTTAACTTCTTGAGGAACTTCCATACTGTTTTCCAGAGTGGCTGCACCAGCTTGCGTTCCCACCAGCAGCGCACGGGCCTCCCTTTTCTCTGCATCCAGTTGTCCTGTGTTGATTTTAGGCATTCTGACTGGTGTGAGGTGACCGCTCATGGTGGCTTGGTTTGCATTTCCCTGGTGATGACTGATGTGGAGCATATTTTCACGTGTCTGTTGAACATGTGTAAGTCTTCTTTGGAAAAAATCTCCATTCAGTTCCTCTGCCCACTTTTAAATCAGAATGTTTGGTTTTTTAGTGTTGAGTTGCATAAATTCTTTATGTATTTTGGATACTGACCCCTTGTTGGATACATCAGTTATAAATATTTTCTTTCATTCAGTAGGTTGCCTTTTTTGGCTTTGTTGACTGTTGCCTTCACTGGTGAGAGACTTTTTAGTTTGATGAAGTCCCAGTGGTTCATTTTTGCTTTTGTTGCTGCTTTTGTTGCCTCAGGAGACAAATCCAAAAAAATCTTGCTCAGACCAATGTCTCCCATCCAAGTACTAACCAGGCCCGACCCTGTTTAGCTTCCGAGATGAGACGAGATCGGGCACATTCAGGGTGGTATGGCCGTAGACTCAGACCAATGTCTCAAGAGTTTATTGCCTCTGTTTTCTTTAAGAAAGTTTATAGAAAAACCTTTGAAATTATGTGGTACCCCAGAGAATAGGCCGAACTCTAGGATTTTTCAGTAATACCTGTTTAAGAGGATCTCAGGTAACACGTTGCGTCTAGCCCTGGATTTCGGAAGGACTGGGGAGTTTAACTGTGTCTGTAGGAGCAGTAATTTGGATTAAAAGTGAAAATGCTATCATCTGAATAGTTACGTTTGGAAAAGTCATTATCCAGACTGTAAAGCTTATTAATCTTTGTAGATGTTGACACGTCCCACCTGCCCGCTCGCTTGTCCTGCCTTTCCCGCCTGTGCTGTCAGCCCAGAGGCATACGTGCCCCGAGGAAGACAGGAGGAAGATGTTTACACTAATTGAAAAGCAGAAACAAAAGGACCTATGGAATAAACTTTGCGACCAGATATTGTTTAAATAATTTTTTTCTTTTTCTTATGTGTTTTCTCTTCATGTTCTTTCTTTTTTTTTTTTTTTAAAGATTTTATTTATTTTCTCATGAGACACACAGAGAGAGGTAGAGACACAGGCAGAGGGAGAAGCAGGCCCCATGATGGGGGCCCAATGGGGACTCGATCCCGGGACCCCGGGGTCACGCCCTGGGCCCGAGGCAGGTGCCGCACCGCTGACCCCCAGGCGTCCGCTCTCTAGGTCTTATTGGAGATCCACCTGCTGTCTAATAAACGGTACCGGTGCCTATCATGACGCTGCCACCTTCTTACATGACTGAGAAGTAAAACTCTGAGAAGCCAGCCCTAAGCTCCGGTGTTTGGAGGTTTAGAACAGTTCCAGATGAAAGATGGGATAAAGTGTGGTTTTATAAACGTTTCAGTAATCTCCCAAGGAGATGGCTGGCTGACTGGAGTGAGGTACTGAGCCTCATGAGGTCTGACTTCGGGTGAGAGAGTTCTTTCCTTTCAGAATGAGCAACTTAAAATACCATTCACTCCGTTGACTTTTTTAGTGTAACGAATACCTAGGCCAAGAGGATTACATCCGGGGAGAGGGGGGTGAAAAGCTATAAGAATACTGCTCAGAATTTTCTTTTTTTCCTTTTTCTTTTTGTATGTGTGAAATTTGGGTAAGTTGTATGTATTTGTTAAGCTTAGAGTTAGCCGGCCTCGTGCTGGGGACTAAGGCCTTGAAGAGGTCTCCGTTCTGGACCAGGAGCTCAGTTGGGGGGCCAGTGAGGGGAGCAAGTAGGCAGGTGCGGTGTCGGCCAGAGAGCCGCGGTCGATGGCACAGACGGTGGCACAGACGTCTGGGCGTGGGGGGCGCGGGCCAGGGTGGGTGGAGGGAAGCAGGTCTGGGCCAAGGAGGTGAGAGAAGGCACGGGGAGTTTCAGGATGCACGGAATTCCTGCTGAGGAGCAGGGCGTGAGCCACAAGCCAGGTTCCCGGGGGGCCCGGCCGCAGACTCAGGAGCCCTCCAGGTCCCTGCGCAGGTCTCGGGGAGAGTCCTGGGGCAAATGGTGTGCGGCGGTGGGGGGCTGGGGAGCTCCGTGGGCTCCCAGTCTGAACTCACATGCTGGCGCCATGGGCTGCTCTTGCAGGATCTCAATTAGGACCAGCAGCCTGGTCAAATTTTCATTGTCAAAAAGCAAAAACTACACAGCCTGCATTGACACGGAGAGGGCGTGGGATGGGGTGAGTGAAGATGGTCTGAGCAGGGCTGGGCCCAGGCGAGGTAGGAAGCCAGGTCCCCAGGGGCCAGGGGACAGCCTTGAGGGCCCTGGGGGAGGGGAGGCAGGGGTTGGGGTCCTGCAGAGACAACAGCCTGGTGGCCCCGAGCTAGGTGAGCACGTCGTGCAGGAAAGCCACCTTCTACCTTCGCTCATGAGAGAACGGAAGACAGACTGAATTTTCTTTTCTTTTCTTTTTTTTAAATTTTTATTTATTTATGATAGTCACAGAGAGAGAGAGAGAGAGAGAAGAGAGAGGCAGAGACACAGGCAGAGGGAGAAGCAGGCTCCATGCACCAGAAGCCCGATGTGGGATTCGATCCCGGGTCTCCAGGATCACGCCCCAGGCCAAAGGCAGGCGCCAAACCGCGGCGCCACCCAGGGATCCCCAGACTGAATTTTCAATAGCAATTAACCCAACCTACAGAAGTGGCTTTGTTGTAGATGATTGCTACTAGCTTTTTTAATTACCTAATGTAATAATAGTCTCGAGAGTCACACAGAGGAGTGGATTGAAGACGAGAAAGGGCTGTCCTTCTCCCTAGATGCTGTGTGGAGCAGTGTGGGGCCCCAGGAGGGGAGGACGTCATAGGAGCCATCTGGGTGGTGATCTCCACCCCAGGTGTATTTCCCAGGTCATCCTGCCGGCTCCCCCACCCCAGAGGTCATTGCTCTTGTTGAAGTGAGACCGGAGGGTAGGGGGCCCACTCCCAGATGCCCGAGGTCCCTCTTGGTGGCCTTGGATGTTATCCTGTTAGCCTGGTGACGAATGTTGGTACTCACGCGCATCCACTGATCCAGCTGTCTTTACTCAGATGGCGCCGGCACCTGCCCCACCGTCAAGGAGTGGTTCGTGTACTCTGGGAACCCACTGAGGCACCCGGACCTCGTCAGGCCTCTGCAGATGAACATTCCAGGTACAGACAGCTTTGGTTTAAATAAGTCACTGATTTGTGCAGCATGCGACGTAAGCCCAATAATGGGGCCTCTGTGAAAACATTTTTCCAGAATTGCACATATGCTAACCTTCATTTCATCCCTGGGCCCACGGGGGTATTTGTGTGATGACGTTCTAAAGCGGCAGAGGGATGGGCGTCGCATGGATGGACCGGTCTCCTGGTCGGGGTCTGACAGCAGGACACCCAGAGTGGCCTGGCCCTGGGGCCGCGGGGGGCTGAGTGCTTGCGGCCTGATCCCCAGGTCTCAGTCCCCGGGCGCGCTCAGCAAGTATCTGCCACATTAACAGGGTTGGATGCTCGATATTCTGCTTGAAATCAGCTCTCGCCTTCCTCCTACTACGGAAAGTATGTTTTGATGGAAAGGAAGGTTATTTCAGCTGGAAAAATAAGGTGTCTCTTCATGAGTGTTACCTTAAAACCTGTAATGGGAGGGAAGGAAAAACAAGGCTCACCTGAACACCAGCTGAAGTCTTTTCTTCCTGCGAGCTCTTGGTACCGGAGGAAAGTCGAGAATCCATGGGTGGGGGGTAGCGTCCTACAGGCAGGCAGGTTAAAGAAGGTGACCGTGCTGAGGGTTTATTTTTAGGGTTCCCTGCCATTGTTTCACAGAACAAGTGTTTTTTCCAAAACTTTGATATTCCATTTTTGTGTCGGATGCTCTTGTGCCACTGCCATTCCCATCATGCAGGCCTGTAGTTTTCCTAATAAGGGCGTGAGCGCTGCTAAATAATTTTCTTAAAAATGGAATTGTATTGGGAGGGAAGGTGAGGAGAGTTACTATAGGGAATATTTCCCTATTTCCTCAGCCAATAACATATTCAAACCTAAAAAGGTATTTATCAAAAAAGAAAAAAAAAGATAAATTGACATCTGTTTTTAGAGCAAGAGCTATTTTTAAAGGATACCCGGAATAATTTTTCAGAAATGTTTTATTATGTATGTAATTTCCATCTTATTGTATCTTCCAAAAATAATATGAAGAGGGATTATTCCAGTTTTCTTCATGGTTTGAATTAAGAGAACATGTGACTATCCATCGTCATTTTAGTTGGTTTTAAAGGCCGCTCCCTAAAATGCTCTAATAAGCTCTGGAAGCACGCAGCGATCGCAGAGACGGGTTCTGGGCTCCGGCGGCCGTTGTCCTTGGCGCTGCTTTGGTCACAGACCCCTTACACGAGTGGCTCACTCTGTGTGTGCTTACACGCATCGTGATGCAGAAATGCCAAGAGTTTGACTTAATAAAAACCCTCTGATCCACGAGGAAAACGCCAAATGGTTTTGAGCTAAAGTGGAGGCTGGAGAAGAGAACTAATCTAAATGATCCGTCAAACAAATTCACCCCTTGTGGCTTAAGATGATGAAATCTGCCAACTGAGAAGTGGATCTCTGTGGATGGTACTTAGGAAGGCCATTAGGTGGGATCCTCAGAGGTCCCTGTGCAGCCAGCGAGTCCTGCGTGTGACATAAAATTGACAGCACCCCAGAGTCTGTTGGCTTGCACTGAAGACCTGGATCCTCGGTCTCTGGAGAAGGGCTGCAGAGGGGTCTTGTCTCCTATGTTAATATGCAAACGGGTGTTCAGTACCTAGTTCTCGACTAAGTAAATTCTTGATTGAATTTAGGATTAAAATTCTCTGATAGTAGATTTATGAGGACATGGTTTTTCAAACTGGTGGTTTTCTGTAATCTATTTTATCATTAGACCTCAAGAACCAATTTGTTTTTGCTGAATTATTCTTGTCTGTGTAAATGATTCCTAGCTGTTTTGCAGAAGGATACTGAGTGGTATTCAGACCTGTATCCAGACCACCTGGAGGGGGTTCCCACAGGTGCTGCTTCCTGACCCCTGCAATTAGAGTAGTAAGCCTGGCGTTGGCACCAGGAATTTGCAGTTCTTTTTTTTTAAAAAATTTTTTATTTATGATAGTCACAGAGAGAGAGAGAGAGAGAGAGAGAGAGAGAGGCAGAGACACAGGCAGAGGGAGAAGCAGGCTCCATGCACCGGGAGCCCGACGTGGGATTCGATCCCGGGTCTCCAGGATCGCGCCCCGGGCCAAAGGCAGGCGCCAAACCACTGCGCCACCCAGGGATCCCCCCCCCCTTTTTTTTTCAAAGATTTGTTTATTTATTTGAGAGAGAGGGAGGGTGCATGTACACACACACACCTGAGCGTGAGCACTGGGGGCAGGGAGGGCAGAGGGAGAGAATGTTGGAGCAGATTCCCCACTGAGTGCAGAGCCCAGGGTGGGGCTCCATGCAGAGCTCAGTCCCACAACCCATGAAGCCATGACCTGAGCTAAAACCAAGAGTGGGACACCCAGCCCACTGGGTCTGAGCCACCCAGGTCCTCCTAGAATGTGCAATTCTAACAAATCCCCAGATGACACCAAGACTGGGAGTAATGTCCACCGGAGAGTCACCGGTCGGGACCTCTCGTGCTTCTTGCTGCCACTGTACTTGGCCTTCAGTACACCTCTTGGGTCTCGTTCTTTTTGTATTAGCCTCTGTGTGTGAGCGAATGAAATGCAAGGTGCAGCTTCACTGTCCATCCCCCACTCTCATGGGGACTTGGCCTCTCAGCTGTGTGCACAAATGTTTTATATGCATTGACAAAAGGACTGGAAGCTGTACTTTAAAATACGGCTGTATCTGGGTGGTGGGCTTATGAATGTTTTTCTTTTCTTATGCTTTCTTTTCCTGGGGTTTTTGTTTGTTTGTTTTACGGTGACTGACTTTTAGAATCAGAAAAAATGTTTTTCGACTACTTGAGTAAATGGAAATAACTGTGATAATGTGACATTCATCACTTACCTTTGATCAGGTCTTGGCCGACTTCTCTATTTTTGGCTGTGGGGGCAGCGTGGTCTCTGCTGCAGCGGCTCAGCCCTGTGCTCAGACTGCGCGGGCAGCCACAGACGAAACACGGATGAGTGTTGTGCCATTGTGGGGACACTCTATTTAGGGACATTGAAATTGGCCTTTCACATAATTTTCCCGTCTTACGCAATACTATTTTTCTTTAGATTTTTTTTTCAATCATTTAAACATATAAAAACCATTCTTAGTGTATGGGCCAGAAGAGCAGGCAGTGAGCTGGACTTGTCCCATGGGCTATAGTTTGCTGACCCTGCAAGATGATTATTTTTCTGAAAAGTATGTTTTGAAGAAGTCATGGCTGACCCTTGTGATTATATTGGAATGAAATCTCTGTCTTATGAACTGGGGCCATAGACTGTTTTTTGCCGGTTGTCTTCACTATATTCTTTCTTTCAAGAGAAAAGTGATGTTTATTTCTCTCCAAAATAAATAATGAAGTTTTTTGATGAAGGAAACACTTCAGACGTTTCAGAAAGCAGGTGACTTTTGCTGGGTTGTTTCATCTTCGGTGGTGAGAGATAACCTGGCCGAGAATATTACATGGCACTGTGAGAAATGTAAGGGAAACGAGGAGAGCCGCTTCGTTGAGTCCTTTAGTTCTGACACCATTTGGTTATGGGTTTGTTTCTGTAGTAGACCGGTGGGACATTTAGGCCTCAGCCATTCCGGCTCTCGAGGCTGGTGTTGAATGTTCATGACCCTGCTGCCCGCAACAGGACCCGGCTCAGCCCGGGACCTGTGCCCGTCTCTGCAGGGACCAGCAGGGCCTCTGTTGTTCCTCCGCCAGACTCACGGGACATGTGTTGTGATTTTAAGTAAATTGAGTAAGGTTTGCTTTGTGTGTTTTTTAAACTTTAATAATTTTAGCATATATATATGGAAGACAGAAATGAAACACTAGAAATCGTATTTTAGGAATTTCTTTTAAGTCTTCTGGACGTGCTTTCTAAAGCATGGGTGCACAGATGCCCAAGCCGCTGGGCTGTTGAGTGCAGACCACTGGCATCACACCTGGCACAGCAGACTTTGTGCTTGCAGAACTCGGGAAAATGCCTTTTTCACAGTCTCTGCACCAAGGTGTGAACCTGCTGGTCGTGGGGAAGAAGGGGGCAAGCAAAGAGGGTACGTTGATGTGTGCACCAGTGTTCCCTGGTGGCTGAGTGCTTTCCCACAGTCACACAGGACCTTGTACACGTGCTCTGAAGAGCGTTGTTAACACCGCAGGATGCTGCACCCGTAGGCCCGTAGGAGAAAAGTCCCAGTTTCCCTCAAAACACAGCCCTTCAAGAAAGGACATATGCTGGCCTTGGGAGGTGCGTTTCTGTTCACCAGAAGGGCTGTTCGTGTGAACTCTCCATCCTTTTACCCTTAAAGCCCAGGGGTGTTGGGAAGAAAAGACAGCAGTGTCTTTCATCCTTTTACCATATTCCTCCAAGAAGCATGTTTGACGTCGCTGCTGCAAGGGATCATGGTAAATGGGCTGTGTGTGTTTTTGTTTAGGAGGAACACCTAATTTGAAATTACTGTGGCTGAACCAAGAGCCAGGGACACAAGCCCGGCGCGTGGAGGCCCTGCTTGGCTGTTTCGACCTTTCGTCGTCCAGAGAAGAGCTGCAGGCGGTTGAGAACCCCTTTAGGGCGCTGTGCTGCCTGCTGACCTACCTGTTCGTGCAGGTAACCCCGGCCCTCCCTCCCGCCCGCCTCCCGTGATTCTGTGGGCTGCAGAATTCTGGGCTGGTCGCAGCGCGTCCCCGTGTCACCTCGTCCCTTGCTGTCATCTCATGAGAACACGGCTTCCCTGTGGGCGCACGTGCCCGAGGCCCTGGCGGAGGCTGGTGATGCACACAAGGGTCGAGGCGTGGGAGGCCCTGCAGGTAGGGGAGCCTGCGCTCACTTTGCTCTTGCTTCCCAGCACCTGGGCGCAACGTGCCTCTCCTGCAGCTGTCACCGTGAGGGAGACTGGGCCTGTCGGCGGCCCCGTGTCGTGGCGAGAAGGCAGGCAGCCCTGAGCTGAAGGCAGCGCTAAACCGCTGAGCCGCTGGGCTGCCCTGAAGTCATTAATCTTATATTTACGAATTTATCCAGAGAAGCAGGCTCCCTGCAGGGGGGCCTGATGCAGGACTCGATCCCAGGACCCCGGGGTCACACCCTGAGCCAGAGGCAGATGCTCAACCCCTGAGCCACCTGGGACGGCTTTCTTTATCCCCTTAGACCTCTTGTCCTCGACGCCGTTGAGCTGTCTTGGCTTCTACTCTGACCTCCACACATGCTTGACCTGGGTCTCCTCTGACACAAACATCACATTTTCATTTGCCTGGATTAGAGAGACTTATGTGACTGTTTCTCAGAGCCGAATTTACTTTATGAATTATTGATTGTCTTTAAGAATCTCACTCTTGGGGGATCCCTGGGTGGCTTAGCGGTTAAGCTCCTGCCTTCAGCCCAGGGTGTGATCCTGGAGTCCTGGGATCAAGTCCCACATCGGGCTCTCTGCATGGAGCCTGCTTCTCTCTCTGCCATGCGTCTCTCATGAATAAATAAATAAAATCTTAAAAAAAAAAAAAAAAAAAAAAGAATCTCACTCTTGTTCCCGAGTCCACTTCAAGGGAGCTCAATACTGATTTTCCTTTTTCTTTCCTAAATTGTTGTTTTCTTTTGGCTCTGCCAGTGTGGCTCTCGCTAGTTGTGGATTTTGCATTCTGTGACAATGTGGTATGGTTCAACAACTCCGAGATTTCACTGCTTCATTATTGGTGTCACATGCACTAATGTAAACTTTAGTTTTTGCTTTATTGTTTTGAGGAGGTTTTGGTACCAGACTTAGCAATATAAACGAGTAGAGGGTGGATTTTTAAGTGTAAAACCGCTTTTTAAAAAATCTTATTTGCTAAATAATGCAAGCACATACGAATTAATGTTTTCTGTCCGGCATGTCTTAGGCCACAGCCGAGGTGGGGCTGTGTGGGGAGCTGAGCTCTCTCATCCAGAAACATAAGTGTCTTTGCTTGTTGATTCCGTCTGTGTGCGTGTGGACGGTCACTCCGTGGACACACATTTGACTTCCTCTTTCCCGTAAGAGACGTGGGTGGTTGAACCTGTTCACACTCGTGCAGGTGACCGTCATGGAAATCCGTGTCCAGCAGGAAAAGTCCACCGCACAGAACAGGAGCTTCACATCTCCTGTATCTCTGTGACCCTGAAGCAGAGACGCGTCAGGAGGGAAATTTCCACCTTTACCTTCTTTCTGAAAGCACTAATGATGACCTTTAAATACAGATCTCTCTAGTGTGGGTCAGCGTGAGGCAGACATACGATGTTACTCTGACTTAAAGAGCATATTTAAATTGAAGCTTCTTGAAACCAAAAAATAACGAATCGCCACATCAGTGGCAGCTCTGAGATTAAGATGGAACTGTAGCATTATTCACCGGGTTAATCTCGTAGGGTTTCATAAGGCTTAAAAGATAAATTTATAAAAATATTGTCTTTCCATGGATAAGATGTTTGTGTGACATGGGATCCAGAACCCGTAGAGAAACGAAATGCTCTCATACCCTCCAAGTCAGCGACAACACCACCGCTTTGTATTTAAAGGCTTACCTGAGAGCCTCGTCTGGAAGGGTGAGTTTACATCGTAGCAAGGGTACGTGGCCTCCATAACCTGTAGTAGAGCAAGTGCTTTAAGTGGTCATATGCATTAAGTGAAATCCTTAAACGTCCGGTGTTACCAAGACTCTGGTGGTCGAGATCTGTTAACTACCTTGGTTACCTGGGAAAGCTGTGGCACACGGCGTACTTCTCTTTTCTCCTAAGTTGGTGTTTTTAGATCAGCCTTCTTCAAAAGTTGCTCATGGGGAGAAGCAGAATTATATTCCAGCCCAGTCTCAGTGGAGAGCGATGGGGGTTTATGGAGTAAAAACCTGTGTTCTCTGCTTGGTCTTGCCTCCGTAGACTGGGAGCTTTCTTCTTGGTCCCGAGCACTACACGTCTGTGGATTTTTTGTTAGCCACAGCTGTCATTTACACAGAGGCAACAGGTCCTGGAGGATGGAGCAGGGCAGGGTAGTGACGGGGCCGGTGCCTTCCGTGGGGCCGAGGTGAGCGATGCCCGGAGTATTGGCTTCTCTAGAAGAGGCCAGTGGGAGAGCAGGAGTCCCCAGGGAACTGTCTTTCTGGTTTATGGTGGGGTCGTTTCTATCAGGAATAAACACTAGCCTTTTTATCACAAGGAAGAATTGACATTCTCACCAGTGGGTCTGTGGTCGTCATCCTGATTTGCTCCCTTCAAGCCTTTACTTGCCGCAGAACACATTCCTGTCTGGAAAGAAGTTCTCGTATTGTTACTTTGGCGGTGGGCCCGTGAGCAGGAGCGCTGCGCTGCTTCCCTCTGGTTGAGAGTGTGGTGGCTGAGCTGGCGAGGTCACCGCCCCAGAACCCCGGGGCAGGTGGTGCCCAGGCCCTGCCCTCATTGCCGTCGATTCTTGAGACCAGAGTTTCCCCATCTGTCTCCCAGTCCCCGCCCTCCTCGTTCTTGCTAACATTTTGATGGGACCCCCTGACTCCATGGAAGGTTGGAGGGGTTCGTATGTAGGGTCCTGTTTCCATTAAACTGGGATCTGAGTATGCAGGCGTTGCCAGGGCTGGCGGGGTGGTTGATCCCAGCCTTGGTCACCTCAGCTCCCGCTGCAAACCCCTACATCGCCAGCTCTGGGACCTGGTGGCTGGAACCATCCCCTGTGTTGCTCTAAGACTCCAGCTTGGCAGTGGCTCATGGCCCCTCTGAGGCGTTGCAGAGCTTCCGCCTTGCTGCGGAGTGACCAGGGCCCTGTGCAACGTGGCCCCGGGCGTTGTGCACCGTGGGCTGTGCGTGAAGAGTCCCTGCCGACCCCGGCGTCTGCCCGCCGCGGGGCCTCGTGCAGAGTGTCCGTTCTCCCCGGAGCTAACACTGCCTCTCCTTCTCTCTCCCTCTCAGGTGGACACTCTTTGCCTGGAGGATCTGCATGCTTTCATTGCTCAGGCCTTGTGCCTCCAAGGAAAGTCCACGGCGCAGCTCGTCGACCTACAGGTACGGGCCTGATTGTCCGTTCTGGAGACCCCCTGCCTGACCAGAGGGTCCTCACTCTTGCCCGCCTTTTCTTCTGTTGTGTTTTTTAAAGTTTTGGTTGGTGTTCCACAGACGGGATCAAAGGGCGTATTTAATCACGCTGCTTTTATGATGCCGAGTCCTGCGGGGTTAGTGACGTTCAAGCAGAGCTGTGAGCAGACGGCATCCCGCGTCCTTGGAGGCGGCCTCTAGACCTCGGTCACACTGGGTCACGTGCTCACAAGAGCCACCTCATTCCAGCGCTGAGAAACGTGTCGTTGTTAATCCCGTGTCAGTATTGTGGCAACATGAAGGCCGTCGTTGGTTTGATCCCTTAGTACCTTGCTGACGGTAGGAAACTAGGACGCCTTTCTCTGGTGTTAGTTAGTCTGGCCCGTACGCGCCCTGTCCTGTCTGCCGTCTGTAGGCCCGGTCCCCCGGACTCCGGTCACCGCGCCCGCCTGTGTCCTCTCCCGGCGCTGCTGTGGAGTGTTGCGTAGTGCAGGTCACGCACCTGTGCTGCTTTTATTCCCATGTTGCCCCTCGGGGCGGGCGGGGAGGGACGGTATTCCTTTCATTTCACAACCTGGCCGTTGGCGGCCAACCCCAGCTGCTCTTCTGCGGCCACACCCTGTGAGATCCAGCGGCTGTTTCTTAGGGGAAAACCCAAGGTCAGGTCAGTCGTTGGTGGAACTTAAGACTTTGCTTTATAAATGCCATTGGGTAACGATAAGGAGTTTTATCCATAGATTCTAGTTAATTGAATTAGTTTTCACTTGTCTTTCCAGGGGAAAAAACTATTACATTTCATTTACGAATAACTTCTGACCTAATGTCCCAACTCCTGCATGCCGGGTTTACCCCATGAACTGCTCCTCCCAGTTGTCCAACTAAAGGACGGTGCCAGGTTTTGTGTGTTAGCAGTTTTGTTACATTGTATTCAAGAAAGTTATTTTTAAAAGTGGATATTTTTTCCTCCTTTTGGCAAGACACAATTAACAAGTGAATTTTGGGTTATTAGAAGTTTAATGAATTCTTTTTCTCTGAGCTGTAATTGACACGTTATGTGCCGCGGTGTTTGTGTACGTTGATGCAGTGGTCACGCAGCAAGTCCGGTTAGTATACGTCAGCACGGAGTTACAGAATTTTTTTCTTGTGATGAGAACTTTTTATATTTATGCTCTCAGCAACGTTCAGATACGCAGCACAGTATTGCTAACCGTGGTCCGCACGCTGGACATGACGCCCGCCGCTTACTAGCGCCGTCACTGGACGTCCCTTCTGACCTTCACCCACTTTAGCCGTCCCTGCCCCCAGTGACCACCGTTCTCTGTGTAGAGGATTGCACAGAGACGTGAAATCACAGTATTTGTCTTTCTCGGACTTATTTTACTTAGCATAATGTCCTCAAGGTCCATCCACGTTCCCACTAATGGCAAGATTTCCCTTTTTTTTTTTTTTTTCAAGATTTCCTTTTTTTTATAGCTGAATAATGCCGCGTCGGGAATATACACCACACCGCCTTGGTGTACTCACCAGGTGACGGACATCGGGTTGTCTGCATAGCCTGTCGTCTGCTGTGAGTGATGCTGCAGTGAGCGTGGGCTGCACGTACCTCCTCATGACAGTGATTTATCCCAGGAAGTTGCGTGCTGGAATGTGGGGAAGTTCCAATGTTGGGTTTTTGAGGAGCCTCCACGCTGTTCCCCAGAGAGGCTGCACCAGCCTGCTTTTCCACCAGCAGTGCACATGGGTTCCCCTTTCTCTGCATCCTCGCCGGCACTTACCTTTTGTCTTTTTAGCGATGGCCCTTCGTAATAAGTGTGGGAGGTAAGTGGCCACGTATGCATAGGCTGACTTTTGACCTCTCTACTCCGTTCCGTTGATTTGTGTCTGTTGTTATGCCAGTACCTACTGCTTTGGTGGCCGTAGCCCTGTAATACGGCGTGGAATCGGGGACGTGACACCTCCAGCTCTGTGATCGTAGCGCACCTGCTCGTGGGGTGTTTTGGATAGTATGGACATTTATCAGTACTTGTTCTTCCAACCCATGAGCACAACTGTCTTTCCATTTGTTCACGTCATCTTCATGTTCTTTGATCAGTGGTTTATAGTTTTCAGAGAGCAGGTTTTCACCTCCCTGGTTGTATTTATTCCCGGGGATCTTATTCTTTTTGATGCGGTTGTAAATAGGACTATTCTCCTAATTTCTCTTTCTGATAGCTCCTTATTACTGCATAGAAATGGCACAGATTTCGTGTATTGACGTCGTATCCTGCAGCTTTATTGAATACATTGATTAGTTCTAACCATCTTTTGGTGGCGTCTTAAGGATTTCTTATGTATAGTATCTTGTTATTTGAAGATAGTGAGTTTTACTCGTTCCTTTCCATGTGGACGCTTGTGTTGCTTTCCCTGGGCTGGTTGCTGTGGCTGGGACTTGCAGTCCTGTGTTGAATAAAGGCGGCGAGAGTGGACATCCTCGTCTTGTTTCCAGTCTCAGAGGAAAAGCTCTCAGCTTTTCACCACTGGGGATGATGTTAGCTGATGGCTGTCCCTCCTTTTGGCAAAACACAATTTTAAAAAGTGAACTTTCAGTTATTAGTAGGTTAATACAATTCTTAACACTAGATTGTAGCCCCAGCTGCGTGGCCTTCCTCCCAGACGGCTGTCCTGCTGCCACTGGCCTGCTGCTCTCATCTCCCCTCCTGGTAGAATTAAACAGGCAGCCAAGCAGGCAGAAGGGAAGGGGACTTGGAGGTCGTGCCATCTGCCTGGTGCGTGTGGGCGGTAGGACGAACTGGAGTCGATGCTGATTCTGGCTCCCTCCCTGCTAGTTGCATGACCTTGAGCAAGTTCTTAGGAACAAACAGCAGAGCCTGACTTCCCCCTTGTAAATACCGCGTGGGTGCTCTCCATTGGACTCGTGTGTGTGGTCCCACCGCTGCCTTGTCTTGGGCAGAGCCGAGGTGGAGTCGGCTCTCGCCACCCACCAGGGGTCTTTTCTGGGTGGGGCACCTGCGGGAGAGTGCCCGCTGCATGGGGTCCTCTCCCCCAGGCCCTGCGCTTGCCAGGCTGGCCGGAACCTTCCCCGTTGTTTGAGCTTCTCCAGCAGAAGCGAGATCTGCGGCAGCTGTGACTGACATGGGTTCCCTGGAGGGACTGTAACTGGGCAGCTCCAGGGACCCCCAGAGGGCCCCTGCGGCGAGTGTCCCAGGAGGAGGGGTGGTCAGGTTTGTTTTACCAGCGGTGGGGCTGGAAACACAGATTTCAGAGGCCTCGTGGCCGCCCTGGGATTCGGTTGGTTGTGGAGCTGCCGTGAGGTGGCGGGGCACGGCCCCCCGGGTCTCACTCCGCTCCCACTGCCCAGGGGCAGTCGTCAGGGGCTTAGCTGTGCCTTTGGTCCCCCACCCTTGTCTTCACCACAAGCTGTGGTCCTACACGGCTGCAGGGCCTGGTGCCCCTGCCCACTGGTGCTCATGGGAATCTTCAAATGCCCTGTTAGGTTCGCACCCAGCATTATTTTTCTTGTCCCAGCAGGTCAAATAGAGCTTTAAAATGGTATACAGAGTGACATTCATTAATAATCCGCGTGATGGGATTTTCCACGTGGAAACGGCAGCTGGCATTACGTGCACACACGCGTTCATTCACAGACACGAGGCTGCTCTCGGGGTGAGGAGTACGGGAACTGAACCTGCGGCAGTCACAGGAGAGAAGAAGGGAAGAAGGGAAGTGGTATCACCTGTAATTAGGAAGGTGCAGGGGCGCTTGATGTGCCCACGCACAGAGGGCAGGCCCACCGGGGACCTGCCGTGACCGTCCCCTGCCGGTGCTCGGGGACCCGGCGTGTGCACCATACTGTACACACTTGGCTCGTGCAGCCCCGTGGGCACCCGGGGTTAGGGATGTGGACAGGACGAGGTTGGGGTGTCTGCAGAGTGAGGAGGGACGCTCCGCTAGGCAGTAGGCAGAGTCTCGCCGAGCAAGCGACCTGGGAAGCCCCTCGCTCAGCAGCTTGGGGTGGGTTCTTGGGGTCTCAGCAGAGGGTGCTGTGTTGTCAGTGTCTCTTCCAGTGCCACAGGGAGGACTTCTCGAGATCTGCTATGGGCGCACCTGCTGTGCTGGTGTCAGCGCACCGTGCCCCTCGTACCAGCGCCAGCGGCACTGCGCACACGCAGGGCACGGCTGGGTCCTTATGGACACGGCGTCTCAGATGGGTGAACTGCATGCGTGCTCCAGGCCATGGTGCCCATGCCGGCAGCAGCTCCTGGGTGACATATCCCCCGGGGGCCTCGGGCAGGACCTGACTTTAGGACGACCTCGCTTGTTCTGGACACTCAGCCCCCTGGGCACCTGCACTGAGCGCAACGTTCTCCTGATGCCCTGTCGTTGCTGTTCCTCACCACGCTCTGCGTCCCTCCCCTGCTGGGGCCTCGGTGGTGTCAGCTGGAACAGCCACCCTTCACCTCCAAGACTCGTCTAGCGCTTCTGCGGGCTTTCCTTTGAGGAGGAAGGTCACTGCACGGCGATTCTTGAGGACTGAGAGCACGCCGCTGGCCTCTGTGCTGGGCCCAGAACACACTCAGGCATGAGGACGGCACTGTATCTTGCAAAGTAGGCTGTTGGTTTTTTTAGAAAAATTATAAATATTTTACAGTAATTTTTTTAAAGATAGTATTTATTCATGAGAGACACAGAGAGGCAGAGACATGGGCAGAGGGAGAAGCAGGTTCCCTGAGGGGAGCCCGATGCAGGACTCGATCCTGGGACCCCGGGGTCACGCCCTGGGCTGAAGGCAGATGCTCAGCCGCTGAGCCCCCCAGGTGTCCCTGCAGTAATTTTTATACCATTCTTTATAGAGAAAGAAAAGTTCTGTCCTGTTATGTTGTGAGAGAGATGAAGGTGGGAGTCGTGGCTGAGGCCCCCTGACGGGGCTGGTGAGGGTGCATTCTGCTCTGGAGTCCAGCCCACCTGTGCTG